ATTGGTTTGGTCGGCTCCGTCTCGTCGAGATAGCCGATTTTCATATATAATTCGTCTAATTTCGACTTACGGTTTGAAAGTTATGACCTGTTCTTCACAGCAAGTTATGTTCTAAAGTCCGTCTGCAAGACTGGACTTCGTCAGAACATCGGACTTAGACTAAAGCTCGCCGAGCCCACCTAAGGCTCACCTCTGCATCCAAGATTCAAAACGCAGAGGTCGTGCCCGCGTTCTAAACTCAAAACGCAGAGGTCGTGGCTGCGTTCCAGATCCAAAACGCAGAGGTCGTGGCTGTGTTCCAAACTCAAAATGCAGAGGTCGTGGCTGCGTTCCAAACTCAAAACTCAGAGGTCGAGGCTGCGTTCCAAACTCGAAACGCAGAGGTCGTGGCTATATTCCGGAGCCAAAACGCAGAGTTCATCTCTATGTTCCAACTCTGCGTCTCAGGTCCAAAATGCAGAGTTCATCTCTGTGTTCTAACTCTGGGTCTCAGGTCCAAAACGCAGAGTTCATCTCTGCATCCCAACTCTGCGTTTCAGATTTACAACGCATCACGGCCTGTGCGTTCAGCCACCCAACATAGGCCCAACTCTGCGTTTTTAGTCTAAAACGCAGAGTTCGGGCCCAGAACGCCAATTTCGGCGTTTGACTCGTTCAAACACGAACCGAACAGTTCTAGGAACCGTTTTCCCCCCAAGATTTGAGGGATTTCCGCCCCACTTAGGAGCGGATTAAGGGGGTAGTTACCACCTTTAATCCCATATAAATACGAGAAACTCAATTGAGTTAAGGGATCAGATTTTGTCTCATCAACGGAGGGAGATTCGGTCAAGAGCGGGCTTGGTTGATCGGAGGCTGGCTTTTTGGATCTGAAGCTTGGCAGCAAAGAAGAGCCTTCATCCTTCGGGTGGGATTTTGGAGATCGGCAATAGGAGCTTCTTCATCCTTGGCTTATAACCGACTTTCGGTTAAATCAACTCTTCCATAGAGTTTCAAACTCGTTCAGAGTTATCAACTTCGTTCAGAGTTATCAACTCGATCAGAGTTCAAAACTTGCTCTGCAAGTTCTTCTAAAACTCGCTCTGAGTTATTAACTCGTTAAGAGTTATTTTCAAACTTGCCACGCAAGTTCTCTACAACGTCAAATCGTGAGGAGAAGACCACGTTCCAGTGAAGCAAAACGTCGGATCGTCAACGGAGAGCAAACTCGACGCGAGCATTCGAGGGAGGCACTCCATCGCCACCGCGAAGAACCCAAAATTAAACAAAGGGGAGAATCCAGATCATTCTCCTCTCTTTTGTAATCAGGAAATCTAATTGTAACGGAGATTAAAGGAATACAAATCAATTTTTCTTTCATTTCTTTTAGTGCAAAATTTTCCACAAACAAACACAAACATTATCTCATGGCTTAGAACACTGCCGCATATGACAGGGGTACTCTGATAAAAAATAATCACCCCACTCATTAGACTGACACTGTTTCATATGTGGTTTCTATATCTAAACAAACAACTACATAATACATAACAAATTTGGATAAATGGAGAAACACATGCAAGTGGATATATCTCATCAAGCAATGACTTGTTGACACAGACATCAGTAGGCAGAGACAGCAATTTCAACTTTCGACGCATATTAAAACAAACATTATATCCCATAAAAAAATTACTTACGACATTAGAGGATTATTGCATTTAAAAGAGGAATGCTTTGATTTTGAAGAAATCGAAGGCGTTGACGCTTTTAATTTGTTCGAAGTCATGAGGGCTGATGAAGAGGTCAAAACGAGCTCCAAGCGAGGGGATGTCGAGGGTGAGTGTGAGCTTCAGCGGTGACGTTGAGCGGGGGCGGATGGCCTGAGGGCTGACCTCGACTTCCAATTTAACAATAATCCTATCTTAAAATCTAAACTAAAAAATGATCATAATCATAATTCATATCATATAATCAACAAGAATTACAAGTAAAAAAGTTTATAACTATCATTAATGGCTTTGAGGAGACCTGAAGACTGACCTCGAGGATGGGGGGCGAGTGTGATGAGCCGACGGCGATGCTGAGCGGGGGCGGCGAGCTTCGGCGGTGGCGATCTCGGTGCTGGAGAGGATGAGGGAGAGGTGATGGTGAGGGGATGTTAAGGGCGAGTGCGAGC